CCCATTCTGCCGTAATTTCCCTTTGGCGTCTAAAGGGGTTTGATTGCGTTTGGCTAAGCCAGTCGCCAGCTCAGCTTCAGGCCAAAAGGCCGTCCACAGAGCTACGGCACGGTGCGCTTGCGTCATGCTTCCTGAAGCGCCCCATGATTGTCTTAAGGTGCCTTTTTTTTCTTTGTGTGGGGGCGGCAGTTTGCTCGTGTATATTCCGACGTTTATAGAGGATGTGATATGTCGCAGACCATGAATGCTTTTGTTGATTCCATGCTCGTGCTTAAATAAATCCATATATATATTTCTGCCTTCAAATATTCATTCCCCCACTTTTTTTTTATCTGGCTTATGGGGTCAGTCAGGGAATGTTTATGGAATTTAGTTACCTTTATTAGTATCTAACCATAAACTGATAATTATTAGAAGTGCTTATTGCATGTACATATAAAACAAAATATTATTAATTACTAATTTGTTATAACTTAGGAACGGATGATAAAATAAATGAGGCATACTTTTTTTTTTCACCTTTACTGGAGTTTCATTACATTTTTATTTGCAGTTTATTTGAGGTTGTTTGTGTGTATTGATAGAAAGCCAAGCGTGTGCAGGTCCTTTTTTCATATATTGAGGCGCGGTCTATGGATATGGCAATATTATTGTCCGTAAAATCTTGAGTTGGAGGACTGAGGTGATGTTTCCCTTTTATAACTTCTCTCCAGCACTTTATACCGAGCTCTGAGGCTGCACAAATGAGCGCCAACTATAGTCATTACTAGGGGAGCTCATCCCCCTTAGGTCACATCATGACAAATATAGCTTAAAGTGATGACTCGCTTGAGGAAAGTAAAGAGTATGAAAACAGTGCATTATTATTATGTTATTTTACTCATAATCAAAAATAGTATCACATATTTTGTAAACCAAGTTTCTGTTTTATTTATATCAAAAAGCACTTTTACATTTTTCCATGCGAAATCTTTTTACATGTTAGTTAGTTTTTTTTCTACATACAAGATTCGTACGTCGGGACCAAATATTTGATGTTAATAAATGCATCTTCACCCCCGTACTTCTCTAGCATGTTCAGCGTCTCGTTTATCAAGCCCGTAATATCACGATGTTTGTACTGTCCAAAGTCCATGCGATCACCCGTACTCCTGCTCCTATTCTTAAAAATATTGAGGACCGGAAGGAGCTGACGGTAGTATGGCACCAACGCCTCGCCCACATACTCCCCGCTAACCAAGAGTTGCTTCAAGACCTTCATGACTTTTACCAAAATCTCTGGATGCCGCACGTTGAGGGCGGTCTTTAGTGGAACAATAAGCTGTGGAATGGTTGCCAGTATCTTTGATCCGCCTAGTTCCAAAAGATCAATAGTACCCCGTAGTGCTACAAAACTATAAGGCTCCTCCAACTCCCGCAGGCCATCCATAAAAATGGGCAAATAGTAGTGATAATCTAACTTTTTCACTTCGACTTTCCATTGCAACACGCGTTGTGTGGCGTGTTGAATGGAAAGGGGAAGGTCGCCTCGTTCATAGTGACGCCTGAAGTCCGTCGGTGGGATGACCTGTTTTGAAAAGACCCCCGTCCTCGCGGGCCCCTTTGGATCGCCAAACCGACCATCACGGAGGGAATATTCTTCGGCCCCGAATCCCACTAAGCTGCTCGCCGTCATACCGCCCGTCCCGGTATGGCTTACAAGGATCTCTTTGGAGGGGGTGGCCGCCGTCGAGGATTCCCCCGCGGACTTCGTGTGGGCTCCGGGTTTGTGGCGCCCAACCGCGGCCGTTGCGGCGCACGTGACATAGGGCCTGTCGCGGCCCCCCGTCTGGGACGTGGGAAAGGTCCCGAAAGGGCCATCGCTCAGCGGGGGGAGGTATTCTTTATCCCTCTTCAGTTTCTTTCGCTGCGAGTTGGAGAATGCCATTTTCCCTGTTGGGTAGGTGTATACTTGATTTATTTTTATATATGTGTACTATCCTTTTGGAATATGTTTAGCATTGTGACAAGGATTCAAGAAAGTTTATTTTTGCATATCCATGGATACTTCTTCTTTGATTCAAAAGACTACAACTTTACCAAATTCATTATACGTTGACATCTTCATACACACGCACCCTGTGGATTCTACTCATATTCTAGTTTGCGTCATGCTTATGATAAATCAGGGATTCCATTCAATGGAGTCAATTCGGTTCCGAGCGCTATTCTTATCCTGATGCCTTTTAGGACAAGAAACCAAAGCGCGGTGACAAACGACAGGACGTTTCCAATTGCACTGGAATGGGAGGTTTTATTGTCTTCCACAAAATGTCCGTATACATAGTTTGAATAGCTTCCATTTGTTGAGGTTGCTCCTGCCCTAAGTTCGTTGGATTTCGCTTTTAATTTATGAATGTTTACTATAGGGGAGAATTTGAAAATCTCATAAGGGCCACTGAGAGTTGAGAAGCGAGATAATAAACTCTCTCAAGGTATCTGCCCTTGGTTCATTTATCCTTTAAAATGCTTTATACTGTCCGAATGTTTACGCTTGAAAAGATCAAACAGGGTAAAGAAGAATGTATCAATAGTATGCAATCGTATTCTTATTTGATTTCAATTGTGAATAAATGATAAAGTCAGTGCAAGACATTTTGACCATAATAATTATAGTGATAGGTATCCCGATATATTAACAACGGGGCTTAACAACCAGCAACAAAGGAAAAAACCCTTGAGTATAAACATACAAAACGGTGTCCTCATCAGGCACCCACGTCAATGTACCCTCGGAGGTGCCAGTTCCGGAATCACTCGCCGCGCTTCGTCCCCGATGGCATCTGATCGCTGGGTAAGCGAAAGCACCTGTATGGCGCACTGCCCGAGCTTTAAAATACACGTCCCGTTGCTGGTCCTTTGAGCATCGTTAGATCCGCCGCCGTGGTGCGCGCGGGCCCGTCGCTGCCCCTCCTCCAGTCGTGCGCGAAACTTCGTGTTCACGCTGCGGAGGGTTCGCAGCGCCATCAGCACCAGTGGGTCGTCCGGGGACTGCAATGCGTACTGAACCACCTCGAGCAATTCCCCGACGGCGTCCAGCGGGACCTTCTCCTTCATCCGCTGCTGCTGCATGGTGGTGAGGAAGTCCTGCACGACGCCGCCCTCCGCGCCCTCCTCGCAGAGCTGGCGGAGGTGCTGGAGGGCGGCGCAGGGGGCCTGCTGCCAGAGCGACCGAATCACCCCGAGGTGGGTGGCCCGCCGCCGCAGCGTGTGGCTGACCTCGGCGCCGCTCGCGAGGAGCG